CTGCACAAATTGTGTAATGTTTTCTCAGATAGTATGCAAAAATTCACTCCAGTCTCTTCCTTTCTTCAAATAAGTGAATTTCAGGGGTGAAGCTGGGGAATATAGTGACCTTGCTATAGTCTGAATAATAACACTTGAATCCTCACTACATTTCATATAACAAATATAGAGCACTTAGAATATTACCTCATTTCACCCTCATGACAATTTCATGAGATAGGTATTACTATCCCCATTTTATGGATGAGTTGCCTGAGGTCTAGATAGGTCCAGAATTACACAGCTAATAAACTAATTCAATCCCAGGCAGCCTAACTCCAGAACCAGCATTTTTAACCACTATACCATCCTATAGTATGAAGATGTCACCCAGAATTAAAATATCTAACTCCTCAATCCACTAAAACCTAGCTGACAATCTGAATCAACTGGGGGCAACTTTCTAAAACTGCAAATTCACCTGCCAAAAGCAGGTCTCCTGTTGTGGATTAGAGAATCTAATTTTATTAATTGTGCTTTTAGGTGATTTTGAAGTATACTAAAGGTTAGAAATTACTGCAGTAAGGCCAGGCGCAGTGGCTCACGCCTATAATCCTAGCACTCTGGGAGGCCAAGGCGGGCGGATTGCTCGAGGTCAGGAGTTCGAAACCAGCCTGAGCAAGACTGAGGACCCCCCCCCATCTCTACTATAAATGGAAAGAAATTAATTGGCCAACTAATATATATAGAAAAAATTAGCTGGGCATGGTGGCATATGCCTGTAGTCCCAGCTACTCAGGAGAGGCTGAGGCAGCAAGATTGTTTCAGCCCAGGAGTTTGAGGTTGCTATGAGCTAGGCTGATGCCACTGTACTCACTCTAGCCTGGGCAACAAAGTGAGACTCTGTCTCAAAAAAAAGAAAGAAAGAAATTACTGCACTAGTTCACTAGAAATTAGTAGAAATTACTGCACTAGTTTACTGCACTAGTTCACCAGAACACTGGCAACCTTCAAGAAATAACTCATGGTTTGGAAGTTAAAATCTTGAACTCCAGTTCAGTGACTAACTAAAATTTATTTATTACCCTATTCTCTCTCTCTACCCCTCATCTCCAAGAAATTCTAAGAAAAAAAATAGATCTAAAATTTGCTAAAGGCCGGCCATGGTGGCTCACGCCTATAATCCTAGCACTCTGGGAGGCTGAGTCAGACGGATTGCTCGAGGTCAGGAGTTCGAAACCAGCCTGAGCAAGAGCGAGACCCCATCTCTACTAAAAATAGAAAGAAGATTGGCCAACTAATAAATAATATATAGAAAAAATTAGCTGGTCATGGTGGCACATGTCTGTAGTCCCAGCTGCTCAGGAGGCTGAGGCAGCAGGATTGCTTGAGCCCAGGAGTTTGAGGTTGCTGTGAGCTAGGCTGACGCCATGGCACTCTAGCCAGACAACAGGGTGAGACTCTGTCTCAAAAAAAATAATAAAAATAAAATAAAATTTGCTAAAAAAAAAAATTAGAGCTGCTGGTCTGTATCATCTACACATGAGAAACTAAACAAAGATCATTGATGTTTTTAGCATGATTACTCTAAGACAGAGTTTAGATCCTTCCTGAAAGAAACATTCAAGGTAGAATTTAGATTTCAAGGGGATAGTTCTATCTCTGGCAATCCTCTGATTTTACCAATGAAAAAACATCCTATTTTTTTTAAGCTTCCTCTTTAACGCAGTTCACATTTGTAACATTTAGCTAATAAATATTCGAGATCTATTGTGTGTGCAATGGAATTGAGTAATATGATAGTATATTAGAACTGGAAGGGACTCTGATTCTCCTAATTTCATAGATGAAGAAACTGAAGTCCAGAAATTTAGTGACTTGCCCAAGGTCACACAATTATCTAATGGTAGAAGCAGCTACCTAGGACAAAAGCCAAGTTTCTTATCTCTCAAGCATAGTATTTTCACTACACCAAAAGCTAAGTTTTTGTTCTTAAACTTATGATAATTCATAGAAATCAGCATAATACTTTCAAGCCCTTGGAGTAGATCTATAAGCTAGTTCTAATTCTTACATCAATTAGCTTTCTAACTTTGGCAAATAATTGTAAAATAAAAATAACTTCTGCCCTTCCTAGGTCACAGGAATATTTCAAGAATCAAAAACACAAACTTGCTCATGCGAGCTAATCCTAGCACTCTGGGCAGCTGAGGCAGGAAGATCCCACGAGGTCAGGAGTTTGAAACCAGCCTAAGCAAGAGTGAGACCCCATCTTTAATAAAAATAGAAAAAACAATTAGCCAGGCAACTAAAAATAGAAAATATTAGCAGGACATGGTGGCACATGCCTATAGTCCCAGCTACTAGAGAGTTTGAGACAGGACGATCACTTGAGCCCAGGAGTATGAGATTGCTGCAAGCTAGGTTGATGCCACAGCATTCTAACTTGGGTAACACAGCAAGACTCTTGTCTCGAAAAAATAAAAAATGAATAAAAAAGGATGGAGAATTTGTTCAAAATTATACTACCTAGCTGGCATGGTGTTGCACACCTGTAGTCCCAGCTACTTGGGAGGCTGAGATGAGAGGATTACTTGAGCTCAGGAGTTGGAAACCAGCCTGAGCAATACACTGACACCCTGTCTCAAAAAAAAAAAAAAAAAAAAAAAAAAATTACACTATCTAGAGAACAGTAAAAAGGGGGTATTTATGAAAGTTTTCAAATCAACTCAATCTGAATGTGGTTCTTCATACCAGTGCTAGATACTGTAGGTTGAGAGATGAATCTCTATCCCTGATTTCAAGGTGTTTAGGATCCAGTTAAGGTTTTAGCTAAATACTAAGACAAAAATTGTGCCTCTGACTCTGCCTTTTCCTAACAACAGCATATTAAATATAAAGGAAGCAATGACTCTTACAGTCTTGACATTCAAATTTCAATTAAGAAAAATGAGGCTTAGGGAAATTAACTTCAGGGCACTTAAGTTTTCTGACATCAAATCCAGTGCTCTGATACACATCAATAACGTGGCCATATGAATGTCATCTAGCTATATCAATAAAAGTCCTATTAGTATACAAGTCAATATTCCTGCCTACTGCTAATAAATAGCCTCTTCTACATAGGCCTGCATTGCTATTATTCATAAATTGCAATGCATATATATGTATGTGTCTTCAAACTTAATCCCCACTAGCCTGCACTCCACCTCCAGGTCAGAGACCATTGTCCAAATTATCTCTATTTCCAATGTGTGGCATAGAGCAAGCACTCAGGGTATACTGGTTGAATTAGCAATCTTCAAAGCCCCTGCCAGGTCTGACACCTGACCTCAAAACATGACCAAGATAGATACAAAGACAAATAAACACCCAAGGGCCACAGAGTGTCACAAGCATAAACCTAATTTGCCTTGAGATCTTTTAGAATATTGCCACTTACAAGCTTTGAATATATTTGCAACTATACATACAAATACAGATCCTCACTACTATATATTTGTCCTATGCATAACACAAAATTAGAATTTCCCACTTTTTTTTTTTTCTTTTTTTTTTTTTTGAGACACAGTCTTGCTCTGCTGCCTGGGCTAGAGAGCAGTGGCTTCAGCCTGGCTCACAGCAACCTCAAACTCCTGGGCTCAAGCAATCCTGCCTCAGTCTCCCGAGTAGCTGGAACTACAGGCATGCGCCACCATGCCTGGCTAATTTTTTCTATATATATTTTTAGTTGCCCAGCTAATTTCTTTCTATTTTTCAGTAGAGATGAGGTCTCGCCCTTGCTCAGGCTGGTCTGGAACTCCTGACCTTCAGTGATCCTCCTGCCTCAGCCTCCCAGAGTGCTAGGATTACAGGTGTGAGCCACCACTCATGGCCTAGAATTTCCCACTCTTGATTTATGAAACTTTATAATTTATTTGTAAATTTATACAAGCAAAAAAAATGAGATAATAATGTAGAAGAGGAATAAGAAATTCCTGTGCCCTCGTGTCTACAAATATGTACACAAATTGTATAACCTTCTAAAACTTGAGCTGCAGAATTTGTTCCGGTTATAATCAAGATCCCTGAAAAGGAAACAAAAACACAAGATAGAGAACTCTAAAATGGAAAGTTTTACAAGTCGGAAATACTTTCCTATTTGCCTAAAGATTAAAAAAAAAAAAAGTGTGTCAAACCTAATTCAAGAGAAACTGCTTTTCAGTAATGTGTATTAAGATAAATATTTCCTGACTGTTTCCGTGCTTATTTATTCTTATTCCAACAAAGCTCTATCCTGAAATCTGCAATGTCCAGCACCATAATTTAATTTCCCAAGAATATCACATCAAATCATAAAAAATAAAAAAAGTGTTTAAGTTGTTGAAAAAAGAAGTCAGGGCCTATCTGGGAGAAGTAGAAAAAGCGCTATAGCCTAGATAAAGCGCTATAGTAATTTGACTTCAAAGACTGGGATCAAATTCTAAACACCAAACTGCCTGCATTTTAATAAAGGCCACTGGAGCCACGGAAACAAATGAAACAGAACCACATCTAATTTCAGGAATTCCCAAACTTCCTAAATGGGCTTAGATTCCACGCAAATAAACAGCTCTGCAAAATGACTTTCTTTCCTTTGTCACAATCACGCCCGTACACAAGTACCACTCTCTCCCCAACTCAAATCCTTGTAGTACAACTAAAAAAAAAAAAAAACCTTGGGACGGAGGTTATCTGCTTTTCCGGAAGAGGCAACTGCAGATATGGCACCAGCAGGCTGGCTGGTCGTGAATGCTCAGAAACCAGGTGTGAATGGCAGGTACCGCCTCCCGCCGACAGAGCCACAGAAAGATTCGCCTCCCTAGCTCTCAACTTTTACAGAAGAAACCCAAAGCAAACCTAGTTCCTCTTCCCCCCCCACTGACAAATCAAAGCTAAATCCGGACACGCGCGGGGTCGGCACGGAAGCGGCCACCCCAGCCGCTCTCCGCGAGCTCCCGGCCCCCTCCCCGCCCCAAGCCCCGGCGCACCCTGAGCTGTACCTGGCGAAGAAGTCTGCGAAGCCGCCGCTCCGTCGAGCCCGGGCCGAGGTCCCCGCGGTACCCTGTTCCGCAGCGGGCGAGGGCACTGGCTGCCCCGCCGAGGGCAGGGGGTCGCCGGGGCTCTGGCGGCGGCTCACCTCGAACGTGTTCCGCGAGTTCAAGTGAACGTCGGAAAAGCCGAGGCGCGCCTCCGCGCCCCCACTAGTCCTCTCCGCCAAGGTGACGGGGGCCGCGCCCTCCTCCGGACCCCCCGCGCCGGCTCCCGGCTGCTCTAAGCCTTCGCTGCTGCTGCCGCCGCTGGCCAAACTGCCCCCCGAGTCACTGCCCGCGCCCTCGGGCTCCTCGGCGTCCGCGGCCACCAAGCAGCAGCTCCGCAGCGGGTCCTCGAGTGGCGCGGCCCAGTCGGACGGGCTTCCCAGGCCGTCCGCGTCCTCGTCGCCAGGCCCCTCCAGGCGGAGGCGGCCGCTGGGGCAGCAGCGGAGCGACTCCTGGCCGCCGGCGCGGGCCAGCCCGCGAGCCTCTTCCAGGTCGCGACAGTCTCGGCCGGGCAGAAAGCCGGAGTCCCCGTTGGTCATGCCTCCGTGCCGCGGCGCGCGGACATCCGCTGCCTCTGTGTCGCGGTGCTTGGAGCCCGAGCCCAGCGGGCAGGCGTCCGAGCGCAGGGCTGCCGAGGGCGGCGGGGCGCGGGCCTGGCCGGCGGGGAGCGAACAGTAGCAGAGCCCGGGTTCCAGCTGTCCCCCGGCCGCCGCGAGGTAACGCTGGAGGAGCTGCCGAGGCGGCGTCTCCTCCTCCTCAGCCTGCTCTGGCGCTTCCACAGTGCCGACGCCTCCGCCAAAGCCGCCCGTGGCCCGGATCATCTTCCCGTCCTGGCCCACAGGCTCCGGCGCCGGCACTGGGAACAACTTGGCGTTTCTCCCCGAGCAGCCTCCGGCATCCTCTGGACCCACCATCTGGGGGCGGGTGGCCGCCGCCCGAGGAGACAGCGAAGGACTCCCGGCGCAGGCTCGGCCGGGCAACAGCCCTGGGTGCTGGGGCCGCGGCGACAGCCGCCGCAACGTTCCCAGACCCACCCCTCCCACCCGGGGCCGGACAGTTGAGGGCGGGCGGGCACGCGCCTGGGCTCGCGCACGCGCAAAAGTCGGACCGGTTGAGCCCAGACCTGGAGATTCCCCAAACCATAGAGACGGAAGCTAGAGAGACGCAGGCCGCCAACATGGGATCCGCCAGCTGGATGGTGGAGCTTGCTTGGCCCACACCGAGCGTGGCAATTCTTACAGAAGCGCGGGTATTGCTCGCTTAGCAAAAATTCACTTGACGTACTTCATTTGTGGGAGTAAGATACAATACAGGATGTTAGTGTGGTTAAGTCCTTCCAGTTGTATTTGGTCACCAGTAGAGTTTACAATTTTACATCCTTCTCCATCGCCACAGTTCCGTTCTCATGGCTTCAGTAACGAGGGTCAACACCGTCCCTTCTCCACTTCGTCTTCCAGAATACTACCAAAGTTATCTTTCTTACTTAGCACCACGTTTCATCACATTGCTCTGTTTAAAGATTTCCCATATCTACTAAGGAAGGAGAGGATGTGAAGTCAGGCGCAGAGGGTCTATTGATATACTTCCAACACCCTGTAATAATAGATTAAAATAGAATGCTGACCATTGAGTGCAAATGAAGTGTATTTAAAATAGAAATCACAAGACGTTATAACTGATCAGAAGGTGTGATAGAGAGGAATCAACAATTACTACAAAGCTATGAGGCTGAATCTGATGTCCGTTGAAGAAATAGGAAATTGGATTGGAAAAAACTTGATTAATAGGGGAAATACATATGGTAAACTAAGAGACTGGAACTATCCACCATAAAGTTCTAAAACTTGGGTTAGGGGTTAGTTTTGGAGACACAGATTGAGGGGTCTCTGCATAATGCAACTAGATGGGTGAATCATGAATGACATCACCTAGGAAGAAAGAAAAGGGGTGGGGAAGAGACTCAAAGCTGTCATTTCAGTACAAAGAAGGTGTATTTCAAGAGATTAAAGAGGCAACAGTTGTAGATAAAAAAGTAGCAAAAAGACCACTCATTCTAGAAGTATGTTAATGAAAGTGAGGACAGAAATAAGAAAATGGAGTAATAATTAGAGGAATCATTATTGTCAAGCCTTTAAAATTTTTTATATAGATACCAAAAGTGAATATAACCTATATATAAGAGAAATAATAAAATATGTCAATAAAATGGAAATCCATGTGCCTACCACTCAGTTTAAGAAACATTGAATGTCTTTTATAATGAGCATTTTGAAGGCCCTAGGGAAGGACTAAGTGGCAAGGGCATAATTAGCAACGCATTTATTATTATGATCTTTCAAAAGGAAGAAATGTCTTCCAGGATACAGGTGAAAAAGTTAATATAGGAAGAGAGAAAATACTTGTAAATTACATATCTGATAAGGGTGTAGTATCCAGAATATATAAAGAACTTGTATAACTCAACAACCAAAATACAACCCAACTAAAAAATGGGCAAAGGACTTGAATATATATTTCTCCAAAGAATATGTTAATGGATACTAATAAGCATATGAAATGAAATATCATTAGTCATTAAGGACATACAAATCAAAACTACAATGAGATAGCACTAACACACATTAGGATGTCTATAATCAAAAAAATGGAATATAACAAGTGTTGGAGAGGTTGTGGAAAAAGTAGAACCCTTGTACATTGCTAGTAGAAATATAAAATGGTGCAGCTACTGGGAAAAATAGTTTAGTTGTTCCTCAGTAAGTATAGAACTACCATATGAGCCAGCAATTCTATTCATATGCCCAAAAGAATTGAAAACATGTTTGAACAAAAATGGTTTACATGAATGTTCAAGCAGTACTATTCATAATAATAACCAAAAGGGGGAAACAACCCAAATGTCCATCAACAGAGGAATGTATAAACAAAATGTGTTATATCCATGTAATGAAATATTACTCAGCCATAAAAAAGGAATGGAATACTGATAAATATAAATGTGGATGAATCTCAAAAGTATTATGCTAAAGTCATGCAAGGTGGTGCACACCTATAGTCTCAGTTACTCAGGAGACTGAGGCAGGAAAACCACTTGAGCCCTGGAGTTGAAGTCTGTAGTGTGCAATGATCGGGCCTGTAAACAGCCACTGAACTCCCACCTGGGCAACACAGCAAGATCCCATCTCTAAAAAAAAAAAAATCATTATGCTAAATCAAAGAAGCCAGACACAATACACAGTAACACATTCTATAATTCCATTTCTGTGAAATATCCAGAATAGGTAAATCCATAGAGACAGAAAGGTGATTATCAATGGCTAGGGGAAGGGGAATGTAGAGAGTGCCTGCCTAATAGATACAGGGTTTTGGGGGAGGGATGAAATGGAATAAATACAGAGTGAACATGAGAATGTCTTCTAATTAGATGGAAGTGGTGGTTGCACAACATTGTGAATGTACTAAATGCCACAGAGTTGTATACTTTAAAATGGTTAATTTTATGTTATACAATTTTCACCTCTATTTAAAAAATTTGTTCTTAATATAGGAGATATCTGGACATAAGGACAGTTATATGATGGTAAAAATGACTCTAGCACTCTGGGAAGCTGAGGTGGGAGGATCACTTGATGCCAGGAGTTCAAGACTAGCCTAGGAAACATAGCCAGACTTCACCTCTACAAAAAATACAAAAATTATCCAGGCTGTAATCCTAGCTACTCAAGAGGCTGAGGCAGGAGGATCACATGAGCCCAGGAATTGGAGGCGGCAGTGAACTATGATGACACAACTGCACTCTAGCCCAGGCAATAGAGCAAGACCCTGTCTCAAAAAACAAACAACAAAAAAGATGAGGTAGCTGAAGGAGTCTAATCCCAATCTTTTGTCTTTTCAACCTTTATCCTCTCTGCCTAGAGAGAATGTACCCTACACTTTTCTTCCTGCTGTCAAACTTTTCCTAACTTGTTAACTTATCCCTTTCTAGCCACCACTATATTTCTCCTTCTATGAACTCATACTACTTTTAAACTCCAATGTTTCTAAATCATTTATTTTGTTCATTTTCCTTTCCCATGGTCAACAGCAGCAAAAATTTTATGAACCACAGTAGCCCATATAATCCTACTATTTTCTCAGTGCAGACTTCAAAATGGAAACACGTTTATATTTTTTAACTTTTTAATAAAGTGTAATACATAACAACTTATATTACAGGTTCTTGCTATATTCCCACCTTTCAACAATAAAAGTTTCTGTCTTTTCTGGTGTGTATCATATCCTATTTTACAAGGGAAAAAAATCGTTTCAAGATATGGCATATCCTTTTTGTGATTAAAAACTTTTGATACCCTATTATATTACTACAACTGTAGGCATAAATAATATATCCTGGTACATTCCTGTAAAATGAAACCATTATGATGAGAGATGATATTCTGAATCTCTGTAAAATATTAATTTAGTTAAAATATGGGAAATATTGGTATACTTGGATTCTTATATTTTCTAAGAAAATCTGACTTTCATAGAAATTCTCAAAATACATATAATTGGACATATTCTATATGTATGACCTATTCCTCATTGATGTATGAAATGTAGTACCATGATCTCATATTATTATTTTGCTACAGTTGTACTCAAGGAGACTATGAAGGCCTTAAACAAAAAACCTAAAACAAAAGGCCTCAAAGCTCTTTATATCTTTCTTTAATCCTCAACCTTTTTCTTGTTATACTCTGGATTCGAAAATAGCATTCAAACATGGTTTATCTTCTATAGTGTTAAATCACCACCATCACCACCCATATACCCTTAGAACAATGTTTCTCAAACTTGGCTGCATATTAGATACACTTGGGAAGTTTTAAAAAATACTAATGCCTGGGCCCTACCCCAGACCAATTAAGTAAATATCTCTGGAGGAAGAGCCCTGCTTTTTTTCAGTAATCATCATATTCACCTTTCAACCTTTTAAAAGAAACATTATTTTTCTTTTGTTTCCATTACTTTATTGTCTCCATTTTTTTTCTGCTACATTTTTGGCTGTTTCTTCTAAGTACTCTTTGGGAGGGTTCTTCTTCCTTAATCCAAGATAAAACCTTTTTTTTCATGACCACAGGACTTCATGGTCTATCCAGCCTCCTTCCCACTTCTCTCCCAAACTCTCTAAACTTCTACTTTTGTTCTATCTACTACAGTGCTCCTTCTGCAAGCTTCTCCTATGTCTAGGATGTTCTCCATGATGATCTGGGCCTTTGAATTTTATCTACCACCCCAGCCTCATCTCACACTTCTTTTCACATAATATTTCAGACACATTGTTCTTTTCTCTGTTTCTGAAATTTGCTAAGCCCCTTCTCCCTACAGGTCTTCCTGTGTGTTGGTCCCCCTGACTGGAATACCCTTTCCCACCCTTTGACCTGGCTAACTCCTACTCTTTCTTCAGGACTCAGTTTTTTTGTTTTTGTTTTTGTTCTTTATTTTTATTTTTATATTTTTAGAGATGTGGGTCTCACTCTGCTCCTCAGGCTAGAGTGCAGTGGCACAACCATAGCCCACTACAGCCTCAAACTCCTGGGCTCAAGCTATCGTCCCACCTCTGCCTCCCAAAGTGCTGAGATTACAGGAATGAGCCACTGTGCCTGGCCAGGACTAAGTTTTAAGGTCCCTTCTTGAGAGAAGCCTCCAATTGCTTAAGTTCCTGTTATATAGTTTCATAGCACCTTTTTTCTTTGTAGTTAATATCACAGGTATAATTTTATAATAATTTGGGCTGGTATTTATACATACACAAACACATTAGCCTGCAATCCCTATGAGGAGAGGAAGTATGTCTGTTTTGTTTATCTTTTTGGCAATAATATCTAACACAGTGCCAGGCATATGATAGCTGTTCAATAAATATTAAAGGAACATGTGAATAAATGGATAAATAAAACTAGTATCAAAATATGTGTCTAGTCCCTAGGAAATTCTGAACTCTACAAATTACGCATATCTATAATCCTTAAGACCAGTGGTCCCCAACCTTTTTGGCACCAGGGACCAGTTTGATGGAAGACAATTTTTCCATGGCAGGGAATGGTTT